GAAATAAAATACACACATTTATTGCTTATTTAGCGATATTTATGTAGCCAAGATGACAACGTGTAGTAACTGAGATCGAAATAGCAACGTTATTCTGATATTCGCGTAAAACAGAAAAGAAAAGAAGTATATTGCTATTAGAAGGACATATTTGCATTGGCAAAGTTAATTAAGGATGAGCGATAACGGATTACTTGTACATTAGCAATGGCAAAGCGCAACAAAGAACAATAAATAATGGACCGGCTGTCTATCCGAATACGTTGCAGAGAATATCGCACGCGGGTTATCTCACGCGAAGAGCCGCGACATAAGTATGCATGAAGTTAGCTACGGGTCGTCTGAAATATTAAGCAGCTAGACTCTTCATGCTGAGGTCTGAAAACTGTTTACCCTGGAGGGCACGACAGAGAGAGGGTCGGAGCCACCGTTAAAACCACGGCCGACTACCTACTCCGTTTGATAAATAATGCGGTTCGCATTTTGCGCGCGAAAACTTTCGGATATCGAGCCGCGCGACGGCAAAACGGGATCGGCCGCTGAAAGCTGCGTGCGTGTTAAAACCGCATCGCGTTGCAGCGTGCCGCCATCGATTCGGGAAACAATCTTGAAGATGTACAATTTACCAGACAAGATCTCTGATCACGAAGAATTCGCATCACGTAATTAAAAATCTCATAATATATCCATATCAATAATGGATGTACATATTTGTGTCGCATTTATATCGATGACGATCGATGATGATCTATCTGTACCATATCTAGCCATTGTCTAAATGTTATAACAATTGCCGCTGGCGGCCAAAGTTCTAGCGACTCGAGGCGAGGCGACGCGACGATGGAAAGTACGCGCTGGCGTTTGCCGTCGATCGCAGTTCCGCGGCGTGCGCACAACGAAGATTGCGAAGTTTCACCGAGGATTCCTTACAAAGCCTGACTTATTTAGCCCCAGGCCCATGATGGGCGCCACCTCTCTATACCCCCCTTCGGTCCCGCCGCCCCTTTGACTTGGTTTGCACCGTTGGCGGAGTACGTCGGTAGGGGGTACTCCGAGAGGGCGAGGGGGAGGAGAAGGCGAACAGGCGGAAGAGGAAGGTTGCAGGAGCGAGCTTGAAAGGACGAAACGCTCTTTTGTCGGTGCCCTCTACACCGCAGAACTTTATTAATTGCGCGTTTTGTTATGCAGATTCCTGCAGAGCCAGTCTCAGTCTTCCAACTCCCGGCTCTGCCCGGAGCAACCTTGTCTGCCGGCCCGCGCGACCCCATTAACTCTCCGTTGGATCGCGAGAGTCCAGACCCCGCCTTTAAAAGATTACCCTCGAATTCATTGCCTTCAATTGGGAAAACTTTGTGCGCATTCTGCAACGATCTTTCCCACCATCATCGTCACCGTATTCCTCGTTCCTTAGATATCCAAATTGCGTTGTGCAATTTCGTTCGTAGATAAATCTTGGATAATAAATCGACTTGTATGTGATGCTGTTATGATGTGTCTTCAAATACTTACGATATCCTTGACTTACGTGATGTTTATTAAGGAGTCAAGAGATATAAATTATCTACGAATGACGTTTTATATGGAAATGTGATCAACAGCTGCATTCATGATTACGTTAACAAATTGCAGTTTTCTATTGAAATTCTATTGATTTCAAAATTTTTTTAAAAATTTCGGTTGATAAACGAAATTCTAATATCATCATTGTATATTGAAGCACACCTTAACTGCGTTTTTCTAGTGTTTTATACATCTTTACATGTAAATACTAATTGTAAAGAAAAACAAGTTAAACAATATATAATAACATATATATGCATACATTTTACGCGAATATTTGGGTATGCGCACTTAGCACTCTAATTAAGAGGCCGAAATTACCGATTTATAACCATTATTACCGTTTATGTACATGACCGATTCATACACGCACACATCTCTCTCTCTCTCTCTATCTGATTGTGAGTCATTCTTGTTATAAGGATAATCTGTAATTCTCGTTACAAACTGCATACAATAAAACATGATGGTCTCGAAATCATTGACTTCCGAATGCTTTGTTCTCAAGCTGATTGCGCTGTGATCGTAGCGGCAAGCTACTCTCTCGGACGCACCGATAATTAGCCCATTAGGAAATTAAAAGTCTAACTGCTGGAAAGGCGAAGTGGTGTCTGTTTCGTCCGAAGCGCGTTCTGTTACGACGCTAGTCATTACTCCTGTCTGAGCCAAAACGAAATATTCCTCCGGGAAATACGGCATAAGAACCACTTAAGAGCATCGGCTTCCCGTTCACTTTCTTCTCTCGGTTTAGTCCCTCATTCATTCGAGTCATAATAATCGTGACGCATCAAATACCGGTTGTTGCGGTTGATGCAAGTTTTTTCTCAAGTTTTTACTATTACACCATGCAAAGAAACTGAACAGATTCATCAATACCAATGAAATTTGCGACCAACGATGTGAAAAACATGAAATGTAGCAAGGTAATTGAACTATTAGAGTAGCGATATAAGTTAGCGAAAATAATTACATACATGAATTTTTGTGTTTAATAATTTTATGTTTCTTTTTCTTTATCGAATGTCTATGAAAAGGAAGAAGTGATATATAGAATAAAAGATGAAAAAAGACATAAAAATATATTAAAGAGAAAGAATTCGAAATCCATTGATGTGGCAGCAGAATATCGCGTCAACTGAAAAGACTCGACGATAACTCCGCTAATATCGAATATTCCAAAAGTTTCGTTTCCCTTCTTCGTTCTCCTTCTTCCGGTGCGAGAATAGCATCGTGCTTCGAGGTGTTTCACGTGCCTGTTGCGTTACAGAAGCTCGCGCGGCGCGGTGCGGCGCGGTGAGGCGCGGTGAGGCGTCTCGCGTGCGCGCGCGCGCTTGTATATTAAATGGTGTTCACGGTTCACCAGTCAAATTGAATCCCGGGCTATTGGCAGATTCTCAATAAGCTTCAACAATGGACTCTGTTACACGAGCCCCACATCCTCCGGTCCGTTCTTTCTGTTCTCTTCGTCTCGCCACCCGTCGTACTTTCGCGTTCGGCACGTTCTCGCATTTCTCCCCAGGAACGTATCCATCGTGCTTCGCGTTATTGAGGTTTCATTCCTATAGTTTGATATCCTTAAAAGTGTTCACCGACAAAGTGCTCGAGATGATGGTTTTTAATTTCTGAAACACGTTTAAATATTCTTCATAATCTTGGATTCAAGATTTTTGGTCCCCGATAACGGCGATAACCATATATTAGTCATCAATGTTAGAAGCGAAAAATTCTGTCAAGCTTTCTCTCGCACTTATAGATTTAAATTAAATTTTTTACGTGTTTTATGTATCACTACTTGCATTTAATTATATAAATTAATAAAATATGATAAAATTTTTAATTGCCTTGCATTAGACACAATAAATAAATGTCTAATTCAATTTATGTGTTTTATATTTTCAACTAGAAATAGATTATGATCATGACAATTTATCAAGATTTAGAGCATCTGTTAATCGAAAAGAAAGTCTTTTAATAATTCAAATATTTAGTTAATCTAATTATTTAAAATTTCAGCAAAGTAACGAAACTAATTATTTTGAAGGTTATTGTGATTGAAGTAAATACGTTTAGATACCTACTGCTTCTTTCTGTCGACTTTCAATTATGAATTGTATGTTGAACTGTCTAAAACTTTTGAATCAGAAAATAAATTGTAGATGTATGCTTGACAACGTAACATATACTAATGATTTGTCAGAATGATCGCTAAACTATATACGATAGCTAATAGAGGAAATAAAAAAGTATAATCTTTGAGCATTTATCATAAGTTATAATAATGACGAAAATTTATGAGTTTTTAATGCAATTTGAATTTTCCTTCGAATTAATCTGTGTTAATACGCACACACGTGTACTACACAAGGAATATTACGATATGAGATATTACATTTGGATTAAGATAATGCGGGCGAAAGCAACGTAAGAAAAGGGGAAATATCAAGCTGTCACATTTTAAAGAATTTTTACGCACGGTCGACATTTCGTTTGCCGATATACGCAAAGAGCGGATGGCGCGTGCATTGTCTGGACGGGGTTAAGAGGGTTAGACCGAGTTAGGGATGTCATGGGAGGGGTTGAGGAGGTAGGAGGTAGGAAGTAGGAAGGTATCGGTGTAATGAAGAGCGACAGTGGCGCCCCTAGCCATCGCTAATTTGCCGCTAAGTGCCTGGCTTTGTTTCCGTACGGTGATCCCATCGTTCGCAATATCCTGGATCCAAGGCGATGTTCCACGGTGTTTAAGAGAGAAAGCCAAATAACCTGCGGTATTACTCGGCAATCTAGTATAGATCGGATTTGAGAAAAGAGATGACACCGACGAGAAGCAAACATACCCGAGAAAAAGGCTAAAAAGCGGCGAGATATATTTTTAATATTAGATTGCCGAATCAAAAAGAAAAGTCACTTAAAATATAATCTAGTCTAGTTGCTTTGGTCCGAGAGATTTTATAAAAAAATAAACATACAATGGAAGGATGTCGAAAACTCAATAATTTTTCATATTGATTATGTTTTATATAATTTCCTACTGCATTACTTTGCCTGGGCAAAGTGATTTCCAATGACACTATTGAACGGTACTGAAAGTAAGTATTTTGACAAATTGTTTATCACAAATTGCAAGGATTGTTAAAATTATAATTTATTAAATCGTAGCAGTAGTGAGAGCATTTTGCAAAACTACTATAAATTGAAAATTATCGCGAGTTTTTATGCTTATAATTTATCTTAGAATTATTATTTTTCATTTGCCTCATATTTTACTATCATCATAGCAGTTAACTGTGATATAAGGAAAAACGTATATTGCTGCACGATACGATTAGACATTAAGTTACGCGATATCAGTAAACGTTTTCCACTTTCGCTTTCTATCAGTGACGAAGGTTTAATCACATGTTATCTAACGTAAACCGACCAAATGGCACCGATTATATAAAAGGAAGCAATCGCTCACAATCGCAGCAGTCGTTGGTGTACTCGTGATCTAGCGACATTGAGAGACTAAACGATAAGCGTGCTGCATTGAAACGTCTCGTCATCATGGACACTTGGATACTGTTGTCTCTCTTAGCTGGCGCCATTGCTGTTTATTATTATTTCTTTAAGAACTTAAGCTTTTTCGAGAAATATGGGATCATACATGTATCACCAGTGCCTGTTGTGGGTAATATGGCGCCCGTTTTTCTCCGCCAAAGTTCGTTGGCCGAGCTTATTCAAAAAGTCTACAATCTAAATCAAGACGCCAAATATGTTGGTTTTTTTGACGGTATGAATCCGGTCGTGATGATTCGCGATCCGGATCTCATCAAAACCATCGCCGTTAAAAGCTTCGATTTGTTTCCTGATCATCGTGGTTTCATCGACGAAGTTAATGACCCTTTGTTTGGCAAAAATTTGTTCTCGCTTCGTGGAGACAGATGGCGGGATGTGAGGACTCTACTAAGCCCTGCTTTTACTTCCAGTAAAATGAAAGCCATGTTTAAATTGATGTCCGAGTGTGCTGACAATTTTACTGACTTTCTTTCCAAGTTACCTGCGGACAAAAATGTTATGGAAATGAAGAACATCTTTACTAGATACACGAATGATGTAATTGCAACGTGCGCTTTTGGAATCAGCGTTGATTCTATGAGAAATCCTACCAACGAGTTCTACGTTTATGGAAAGGACGCTACGACTTTTAGCACTCTACGCAACATAAAATTCTACTTCGTTAGAAGCATGCCAGTCATCACCAAAATGTTAGGTTTAAAATTTGTTGGCGATCACGTACGTCGATTTTTCAAGGATCTCATAAGCAATACGATACACACCAGGGACGCGAAAAATATCGTACGGCCAGACATGTTGCAACTAATGATGGAAACTAGAGGAAAAAGAGGACCCGGAAAGGAACTGACAATCGAGGATATGACCGCGCAAGCGTTCGTCTTTTTCTTTGGCGGTTTTGATACTGTCTCTAACTTGATGTGCTTCGCTGCTCACGAAATCGCTGTGAATCCCGACGTTCAGGCAAAATTGCGCGACGAGATAAACGAGGTTCTAAAGACGACCAACGGGGAATTGACGTATGACGCGCTGAATGAAATGCAGTATCTGGACGCAGTGGTCAATGAGACTCTCAGGTTGTGGCCCATAGCTATTTTTCTGGATAGAGTAAGTGTGGAAGACTTTGAACTACCTCCAGCACTGCCCGGCGACAAGCCTCTCCTTTTAAAGAAAGGATCGAGCATTTGGTTCCCTGTTTTCGGTTTGCATCGGGATCCAAAGTATTTTGAAAAACCAAACGAGTTTCATCCCGAACGTTTTTTGGATGAGAACAAGAAAGATATAAATTCAGCTGTATATGTTCCATTTGGACTCGGCCCAAGAATGTGCATAGGCAACAGATTTGCGTTATTGGAGACCAAGGTTATGTTATTTCATTTGTTAACTCGTTGCGATTTAAAAATGTGCGCGAAAACTCCGCATCCGCTGCGATTGTGCAAGCAAAATTTTGCTTTGATGGCAGAAGGAGGATTTTGGCTGAAGATTCAACCCAGAGACAATGCTAATAATACTATTGTATTTTCTAACGGTGTTAATGGTAGTGCGACTAACGGCCATATTTAAATTCACAAGAATTGCGAATGAAATTTGCATTTATAAATATAAATTCGACGCAATATCATTTAACCGAGAGAAATGACGCTCGGATTGATTTGGATATGCACGCACAAATATTGTACAAATAGTGTTTTGCTTTAAATAAGATTCTCGTTAAAATAATCGAATCAACTGCAATAAGCAATAATGCAAACATATGTGTATAATAATGTAAACATTTGCTCAGAATTTTATTGCTCCACTTTATCATTAACATTTCATGGATATTGAATATACTGTTAATTCCTAATCTGATCACTTATATTGTTTAGTACTTCAATGAATAATTTGATATAATGAAAAATTTTTTGATGAATTAATTTTAAGTGTATTTTCTGTATATTAAAGCAAAATTAAAATTATTTTAAATACATGTGAGCTGTTGCGATGGAAATTGCATAGAAAATGAAAGATTCTTTTTCATATAATAATAAATTACAATAAAATGGAAGAATATTACAACAAGGTTATGATACGTAGAAAAAAATTGTATAAAGATATTAATAATAAATGTTAAATATATAAATATAATAATCCAAGAAGAGAGATAGAACATTATTTTTAGTCAAACATGAAATGTTATTATATTTTAAAGCGATATATAAAACAAAATATGATTAAACAGTAAAATATGTGTGTAATAATAAGCGTAATTATAAAAAATATGATTATTGCATATAGAAGTATTTTTATAGGTTTTTATATGTATTAGCATTACAGACACGCACTTCGCGCGAGCTTTTTATTTTTTTTATTTTTCCCCTTTTTTACTTATTATATATAACTATTTTTAGTTTTTTATATATGTACCAAAGAAAATGATTCATCAAAGGATTTTTGAAGCAAAGGAATAATATGCAGGAAGGAATAATATTTATTATTAAATAACTTTTCAAGATTAATTTTATGCTGCCAAAATATAAAAAATAAAAATATGTTATTATTTTTTATTTTTCCTTACATATGTGTTGTCATAAATTAAACTATCATAAAAGATGTATCTTAACACTCTTGAAAATTTTATTGAAATTGTCTTATAAAAAAATTTGTTACAATTTGTTATTTTAAACTAAATACAAATTAAATAAAGCCTACTGAGAGTATAGAACGGTTATTAACCTGCTCAAATATGTGTATATTAACAATATTAAATCTTTATATTACAAAAGTAAATACATTACGAACGTTCCGCCTTTCTTTGAAGTCATCCTTAGCGTTAATGTTATAAAAGTCGAATGCGATACTTGATTTCGATTCTGGTAGTGGATGAAACACTTACGGTTACCAATTCCGAAGTAGCATCGTTGTCATTTGAGAAAAAAACAACCAAGACTGGATTATTTCTTGCAAAATGAGAAAGAGCAAAATAAAACTTTGAAGTAAAATGAGAAGATAATGCGATTTTTATCAACATGGTGATTTGATAAATCGATAATCGATAATTTATTATTTAATTTTACTTTCAAATATTGTTCAATTTAAAAAAATGTTTTGTGTGGCTGCTTAATACATACATATATGTATTCTCGATTATATGATAAGATGTTATTTTTCATGAATTTCCAAATGTGCAAAAATTAAAAAACTGTTTAAAATTTCTTCGCATATCGACATACGTTGCAACCTTGTTTTCAACTTCATCCATTGAGAGCAATGCTTATCAAGCAATCGAGTTAATTGAATGATTGTCAGAATGATATATTCTCATCTGTATAATGTGATGAAAACCAAGGTCAAAATGATTTATAATCATGATAGAATCAAAGATGAGAGTAGACATCAGAAAATGGACATCATAGATTTGTAAAATCGAGATTATGTCAGTAATACAAAAATCAGCAAAAATTATTGATGATAGAGATCTACATATGTTTTTGCTGTAATAGCATATTATAATAAAAAGAACTATTATGTAATTTTATTAATATATATGCGCAATGATGAGTTACGTAAACCGATGACTATTAACGACTATACTTATAGTTGACGCATATTTATACTTTGACAATATCTACATGTGTGAAGTCCATATATGTATATCGATGAAAAATTGCACAATCATTCAACGTAATTTATTATTTGAATACCAAACTGAAGTTGATGAATAAGTGTATTGTCAATAAATAAGAATAATAATTTTTAAATATCAAATCAAAGCCTGCGTTGTAGTTTTATCGAATTTATAAATGACATGCCGTATAAAAATGACACGTAAAACTGTGAAATCTTTATCAAGGATATTCATTTCATATCAACAAGCAGCGATAAAAAAGTAGATAACAAATAAATATAAAGATAAGAAATACAAGATAACAAAAACAGAAAACCTTATCTCAATCTATAACGCCATTTTATAAGACGTAAGATTTTATAAAATTTCGTTCTCTTATAATATAAATTATTATAAAACTTTACTATTCTTAAAATTGAAATAAGATTTCTAGTGCGTTTTTTTTTGATAAAATTCATATTACATAAATTTTCAATAACCAAAAATTTTAAAAATTATCTAAGATTTATTGATTTGCACCGAACAAGTATCAATGATGATTGATCTTACATAATGTCAGCTTGAAAACGCTTGCATCAGAAAGATTACTGGGTATATTACGAGAGAGGAACTGCTACACGAGCAGTTATTTGCAACGACTCGCGTCGGTAGTATCGCTAACGCTCTTTATCCAGTTATATTATATCAAATTTTTATTAAAAAATCAAAGAGATTTTCAAACAACGTTTGCCATGGAATATTGGTCGATATTGTTATCAATAATGATCGGTGTGGTCAGCATTGATTATCTTTATAGAAATTTTAATTTGTTTAAAAGGCATGGTGTTATACACGTACCGCCTCTTTCAATATTCAGAACCATAACATCGATATTTATGTTTCGTCGAAGACCATTTGTCGATTTTATCCTGGAGATGTACAATTTCAATCCAGACGCAAAGTATTTTGGATTTTACATTACGACAAATCCAATCTTTTTGCTTCGTGATCCGGAACTCATTAAGAATATCCTTGTTAAAAATTTCGAGGCATTTCCAGATCGTCGTGGTTTCTCAAACTTGAATGATCCTTTACTTGAAAAAAATTTGTTTTCACTTCGCGGAGAAAAATGGCGGAATGTAAGAACTCTGTTGAGTCCCTCTTTTACGTCCAGCAAGATGAAAATGATGTTTACGTTGATGTCGGAATGTGCTGTGGATTTTGCTAATTTTCTATCAACATTGCCAGCGGATAAAGGTGATATGGACATGAAAGATGCCTTTTCGAAATATACAAACGATGTCATCGCTACATGTGCTTTCGGAATCAAGATCGATTCCATGAAGGATCCAACGAACAAGTTTTACGTTTACGGCAAGGAAGCGACTAACTTCTTTCGAGATTCAGGCCTAAAGTTTATATTTCTTCAAACTTTTCCGAAACTCGGACGAATTTTCAATTTAAAGCTTATAAACGATTATGTGGCGCACTTCTTCAAGGACATTATAAAGATTACAATTACCACTCGTGATGAGAAACACATTACACGCCCGGATATGCTACAATTAATGATGGATATTAGAGGCAAAGAAGGTCGTAGAGAATTAGACCTCGATGAAATGATTGCGCAAGCTTTCATCTTTTTCTTAGGTGGCTTCGATACCAGTTCAACCGCGATGTCTTTTGCAGCTCACGAAATCGCAGCTAATCCAGAGGTTCAGACCAAATTACAACAAGAGATCGACAAGGTTTTAGAGGATTCGAATGGAAAAGTGTCGTACGAAGCCATTAATCGGCTCGAATATTTAGATGCGGTGCTAAACGAGACTCTCAGATTGTATCCACCAGTCATCTTCTTAGAAAGAATATGCAAAGAAACTTATGAATTACCACCCGCATTACCGGACGAGAAACCTTTTATCATGAAGAAGGATATGCGTTTTTGGATTCCGGTTTTTGCAATCCATCGTGATGAAAAGTACTATGATAATCCGGAGAAATTTTATCCAGAAAGATTTTTAGACAATAAAATGCACAATTCTTTGTATTATATACCATTTGGATTAGGACCAAGAATGTGCATAGCAAATAGATTTGCCATGCTAGAAGTCAAAGTCTTGCTGTTTCACTTATTAGCACGATGCGAGCTGAAACCTTGTGCGAAAACTACTTCTCCAATAAAATTCTGCAAAGGTCTGGCAACGATGCCAGAAAATGGGTTCTGGTTGAATATTCAACGTAGAAAAGATATGCATCCTTTACTGTCTACAGTAATGGATAGCTAAGTCATATAGAAAACATTTTAAACGTTAATAACATAACTATTATCAAAAATTATATTTGTAATAGAAATTATTATACATTTTTATGAACGCACATAATAAATTCAAGATTGTATATTAATCAAAATTAAAATTAACTGTTACAAATATTAATAATGTATTTTTTCTCTAAATTTTTTATAATTTATATATAAATTTTTGTAGATGGAAAAACGATGATAAATAAATATATGCATGTATAGAAGTTTGGTGTGTGTGTGTGTGTGTGTGTGTGTGTGTGTGTGTAGAAATATTTATTATTAACTACTAGCATAACAATTTATATACATAAAACACATATATTACGCTTTGGATAACTAATTTCTCAAATTATAAATTTTTATAAAAATTATACAATGAATATATCTGTGTCTATCTATAGTACCTACTTATAAAATGGCAGATTGCTTTAAACGCATTATCTTATAATGCGTTTTAATTGAATTTGTGGACTTGTGGAATTGTGGAAATTTTCAACTAAATTCGTAGCTAATATTTAATACTATTAATAAATCTGATATATTGTCTATTTTATATTTTTCCATAATTATATTCATAATTATATGTAAAATAATATATATACTTTGTTGCTTATGTATGTTAAACAAATGAGTATATATTAATAATAATAAATTATTGCGTGTGACACATTAAGTCATAACAATGCGACAATTTCATTAAGAATGAAATTATAAAAAGGATACTTGAATATTGTGCATTAAATACTGAGAAAGAAAATTATGAAAGTTATAGATAAGTATTCTTTTGGGTAACCAAGAACAAATAAAATATTATATATTTAAAAAATAAAATTTTTAACGATTAAATTTGAAAGAAAATGTTTTTTACTAATTCAACAATAAATTGATTCAATCTTCTAATTTTTTAATTTTAATATTTTGTGTAACGCATATTTTGCAATTATACGTGGATAGCACAGCGCGAGAAATTCTGAAAATAATTGTAAAAGTGTTTTTACCATTTACCTCGTTCAATTTCTTCGTAGCGAGACAATACATCGTTTCGCACCACCCTTATGATCTCCACTTCATCAATTCTTGGCCCTTCTCCAACATGCGGTCCCTTTCCAACGGTGGTAAGTGAATTAGATTAGAAGGGGTACTTTTATCGAGTCAGAGAATGTTTCTCCGAATACACATCTCGAAAAGTTGGATAATAGCTATTTTTATCAAAATAATCACACTATATAAACTACTTAACTACTTACGTATATATTATATATTAAAATTTATTTAATTTTATAATACATTTTTATAAACACATTACTTATAATGCATTTTTTAATGAAAAAAACGTAAAAGTGTTCACTGAATAAGATTATTATTTTTTTAATTATACATCTTTTAACGTGTTTAGATGATTATTATTTACCATTAAAAAGTATTGTTCTCTGCACTATTTCTGACTTGTTTACGAGATACAAATATAGAAATTTCTTGCCCTTTTTGCTCGGTATCTTGCTCATTAGAATGCATTAGGCATAGAAATCGACCAATTAAGTCAGTTGCTCAGTCGGCCACTAATTAATCTAAATTACAAGGACTTCCGGTAGCAGCGAAGGATAACTGGGTTTAATGATCAATTGGATCAAATGCAACAAAGTGTCCAGTTGGTTCAATAGCGACGGCGCGTCACGCAAGCATCTTATTTGATAGAAACCTGTTTGTCCGTCGAAGACCACGAGCCTCGATTCCTTTAGCAGTATAGCCGTCGAGGGAGCGTACGCTCTTCCGACCGCTCATTAAAGCGGCATTCACAAGCTCGTATCGTGTCTCTGGAAACGCCCAATCACGTAGCCGAATACATTATACGGCTGTTATATCCACCATGCAACTGTATGACAGAACGTGCAACCAATGCAGATCCTCTTTGGTCAATGCAAGAATCTATGCAGACTTGACATGCAGAATCCTGACAATCGGCATTTGTTACAGCAATAAATCTGAACTGTCTCACGGAATAGATCTATATTTTTTAAAATCTTATAAAACTATAATTATTATTTGATAAAATAAGAAGTTTTACGTATTAAATTATAGGCAAGAAATATTTTATTCTGTTCGTGTTATGAAATATTGAATCACAGTTTAAAAACCTTTACGTATACTTTATACTTCAATACTACTTATACATTTTGAGAGTTTTGTCCACAGTATCCAAATATATCTTTTTTAATCGTCTTATAAGAATATTTTTTGTTTAAGTCTGTCACTGTCTCCTAATCAATCTCATCGATTTTGTTTTGAAACTTATCTGGGATATCGCGATTGATGATAATTTTATAAAACTTATCAATATTATATCATATTATGAATCTTATCGAGTTGCTCTTGAAAACAATCAAAGAAAAAAACAAATGCTTGCAACATTATGTTCTTGATTATGAATTTCTTTTTAGTATATAATACTATATTTTCTGTTTTTTATTATACTTGTGCAATGAATCATTTGAAGAAGGTTGCCTTTTGAATCAGCATTGTGTTACTAACTAAATAATAAGAAGATAGAAAGTTTAATACATTTAGAATTATAAATTTTAAAGATTTGATTAAACAAATCAATTTCTTTCTTTTTACATTTAGCGTGTCCCATTAATAACATTATCTGTAATAGAATGATGTGTATTTTTCTCGGCATTACGTTTAACCAGAAACCATCTTCAGGTTTCATAGTAAAACCGTCTTTAGCCATCTTCATGGGTATCTTCGGTGTCTTTACGCAGAGTTTTAACTCGCAACGTGCTAGTAAATGAAAAAGTAGAATCTTTGTCTCCAGCAATGCGAATCTATTAACTATGCATTGCAGAACATTATTTCTCTTATATACATACATGACGTACATGATACCGTGAGAGGGGAGTCTATTGCGTATAATTATGTTAGATTCGCGTATTTTTATTGACGTATCGTATCTATTGTAAGATACTCGAGTCTCGATGTTACAAAAAAAGGCCTTGTTTTGATATATACTGCCAATACTGAAAATTTATAATATATATACTTAACACAAACTGGAGATTTTCAGTACTGGTAGTATATATTAGAACACAGGAAAAATCTGATCAAATAGTCAAATGCATAAATATAATACATTCAGATTTTATTTATTTTTTATCGGTTCTTTTTTCATAAATGTTTCGTATACTAAAATATTCTTCTTTAAAAAGATTAAAAAAATATATATTATATATACATATTATATTACGGAGTCATATTTCTCTACTATTATGTATATGTATACATATATTTTTAAAAATATGATAAATTATGGAAACAATTTTCCAAAAATTGAATAATTTGTAAGAAAATAATATACTTGGCGGGAGCTGCTATCGCGTCTCCTGATATAGACAATTATAATAGCAATAATTGCGCAATTAATTGCACGAGAAAAAATTAAATTACAAATTGGAAATTGATTGATAATCACAAGATGATAAACAATACTTGATCTTTAATCCTATCGTCTTCTTTCATTATCATTACTTAGCAAAATATAATAATGACTCTGTTTTTATCATTGAAGAATTTAGAAAAGGAAAGTTGATTCGAAGAATATCTTTAAGGTAGAAATGTTGTAATTTTAACTGAAACAAAAAAATAGTGCACAAAGAAACCACGATAAAAGAACATCAAAATAATAATGAGATAAACTGATATTTATTAAAATTATAATTAGTACATTTAATTACAATTATTGTAAATTATAAAGTTAATACCTGAATTACGTCACACACACACACACATATATATGACATACCGTCTTTTTCCCTATGTTTTTTACTTTGTTAATAAATAATATTTGCATATTTTACTGTGTATATTTTATATATTTTATATATTTTTTGCAAGATGTATATCGTCTTAGCATTACACGTACCAGGATATAAATGTTAATAATTCAACGATTTTGCTTCGCTTGATCTTGTGCATCAGTATAAACATCTTATCGAAAAGTCAAGAGTACCAAATCATGCGTCATTATCATATCGTTTTCATTATTTTTTGTTTTAGCTGAAATTTAAATAAAATTATAATTAACACATATAATGCTTTATTTATTAATAATTTTGCAATATATTTTTTAGTTTATTGCAGTGAATTAACATTTGAATTTAATTTTTAGTTTCATTTTTAGTTTAAACTTACGCAAGGTATTTGATTAACTAAAAGTAATTTTATTATATTACAAATTATAAATCTTTTTTTTATTACTATAAAATAAATAATTTTACTAATTAATAAAATGTCGTAAAATTTTCTGATTTTTACTTTTATTCAATTTACTTTTATTACAAATTTCAATAGTACAACAAACTTAATTAAATTGCCTTACAGTTTTCCATTCACAACATTAGCTGCGAGACTATGATGTATATTTTTCCTTGGTATCACATCCAACCAAAAACCATCTTTAGGTTTCAAAGTAAAACCGTCTTTTGCCATCTTCATGGGCATCTTCGATGTCTTTACGCAGGGTTTTAACTCGCAACGTGCTAGTAAGTGAAAAAGCAGAATCTTTGTCTCCAGCAATGCGAATCTGTTACCTATGCATTTTCTGGGACCAAGACCGAAAGGAAGGTAGGCTCCACAATTGAGAGTGTCCTTCTTCCGCTCACCTAGAAATCGCTCGGGATCAAATCTCTCCGGTTCTTTAAAGTACTTAGGATCATGATGAAGTCCATAAACCGGTATCCAAACACCTTGCCCTTTCTTTATAGTAAATGGTTTTATACCAGGTAATGTCGATGGTAGCTCAAAGTCTTTCATGCATAATCTGTCAAATACTATACCACTTGGATACATCCTGAGAGTCTCACTAATTACTGCATCCAGATATTCCATATTATTAACCGCTTCGTAAAGTGCTTCGTAAAGTCCAGTGTTATTTTCCAAGACTTGATCGATCTCATTTTGAAGTTTTTCTTGTATATTCTGATTCAACGCGATTTCATGAGCAGCAAAACACATTAATGTTGAACTGCTGTCGAAACCTCCAAAGAAGAAAACAAACGCTTGTGCTACCATATCGTCAATAGTCAATGCTGTTTTGCCATCTTTGTTTCTAATATCTATCATCAGCTGTAACATATCTGGTCGAATAATATTTTTTTCATTTCTAATTTTTATTGTTGTTTCTACCATATCTCGAAAAAAATTTGATATTTTCTTTTGAACAACTTTCAATCGAATTATTTGTGCTAGCCAAGGCATGCTTCTAAAAATGTAAATCTTCAAAAAGAAGAGGATATTGATAACGGTCACTTCTTTACCATATGTATAGAAATCATTTTCCGGATTTCTCATAGAATCAACATTGACACCAAAAGCGCAAGTAGCGATTACGTCGTTTGTGTATCTTGTAAAGATGTCTTTCATTTCTATTGTTCTTTTCTCCCGTGGCAATTGTACCAAGTAATTGCTAAAGTCGACGCTGCAATCTGACATTAGTTTAAACATACTTTTCATTTTACTGGACGTAAAAGCCGGAGTCAATATGGATCGCACTTCTCGCCACCTGTTTCTGCGAAGAACGACCAGGTTTTTGCCGAAAAATGGATCTTGATTTTCATTAATGAAATTCATCCGATCCATGAACTTATCAAAATGTTTTAATGTTACGAATTTAATAAGCTCAGGGTCGCGAATTATTATAAGTGGTTTGGTCATATCATACAAACCAATATACTTGGCGTCAACATGCAAATTATACATTGATTTAACAAATTCAGCTACTGATTGACGACGAATGATAATTGATCCTAGGTTTCCAATAATGGGCAGAGGCGTCATATGTGGAATTCCGTGTTTCTTGAAGTAATTCAGATCTTTGAAGAGGAAATAATACAGGCCTAAAGTACCTAGTATCACTGGCAAGACAATTACATATATCATATTGATAACTTTTTCTACACGATGCAATTAAACTCCCGAAGAAACGTAATGCGCAGCTTACTAGATGAACTTTGTTCGAATATTTATGCGGCGTGATTAAAATGCTCGCGTGCGAACGGTGATCTACGATCAACTGCTATACTGACGAGTAACGTTCCTCTTATATCCAATAAATAGGCATAAGTATTATGTGGAGGGATCTAGAGCATAGTACAACTTTACGTTAGTAAAATACATAATTCATACATAATTTATTCAAAAGACCATAATTTGATAGAGCATTCTCTTTATGAAATAATATACATATGAAGAAATTCTAGGAACCGAAATGAGCTTTAGCTTTTTTTAAGTTTAAGTAGAAAAAATAATACCGTATTAAATTTTGTACGGCTTAAGAATTATCATCTTTTTTTACACATTGACGTATGTGTTACATGCAATTGCATTTTATTTGAGGACTACTATTACATACGTTATATTAGAATGCAAGTGAAAATTTTCATTTTAAATCGGATTGTGATTTTATTGCGCAACATCCATACATAACAAGCAAAAACATTATTTGCTGAGTTGTGAAAATTAATGGCATATGATTAAAATGAATACTTGTATATATATATTATTATACGTCTTTAAATATGCGGCTCTGCCAATGATTAATTTTAATCAATCGTTTAATCGCTTACTGTTGACTATTATTATAGAAGATGTTAGGGAATTATCGTGCTTTTTGTACATGCAGGTAGTGCGGATTAAATTGAGTAGAAAAGTTCTTTAACATTTCAAGTTTCTCAATAATTAATAAGAAGTGTATTAATTAGTGAAGTAGAAGTGTAGTCCTCAATAATTAAAAAATACCTTTTATCATTACCAAAATGATTACATATATTATTAACATATATCATGGATTAATAATTATTTATACGATTAAACTAAATTTGTGAAAATTTGTAAAAATAATACTATTATTTAAATATTAATATCGTATTATTATAGTATCCACGAATATTGAATTAATACAACATTACACGTCGAACTATAATGATTAATTACTATTGCGATAATATATTTTTTATATGCGTTGTGGGGAGTGGAATTAAATAATATATAACATTTAAGGGTATGTATTTTTTATACGTATAGATACATAGATACATCTAAGAAATAATCAAAACAATAAAATAATGACCTGTAATCTAATAATGTCTCATAAATCTTTAGCTTTTTTAATATTATACTTTCCCCATATAATATTTTTGTATTTTTATACATAATAAGATTTTGTTTTAATTATAGTTCTGTATCGCTTTCCCAAGACATTTTTTTTACATAACTTTTATCTGTGTAATATGTTTTTGTATAGAACATTTCTTATAAAAATAATGACTGTATAAGAAATGAAAAATAAAATTATAGAAACGTAATTGAGCGAAGTACAAGTGGAAACAATAACTGCACAGTAATCTACATCACAAACAAAGTATTAGAGATTAATCGATAATAACAACGCAATATATGAAATAGTATACTCAATTCATTAATCTTTTTCATGCTTTTTTGTCTTGCCATTTTCTAACAAATGTACAAAAAATAATATGATTGTGTTTAATATTCGGGAAATATTTCTAATGCAAGAATATCGTTATTTCATGAATTTGTAGTAACATATAATCATCTTCATGTCGGTCAATTAGGAAAGAAATGCTCCTTGTTTCACGTTCATATTTTCCATTTTTGGATTTCACTTTTTGTTTTCATTTTATCTGAAAATTTTAAATTATATGATAACATAATATAATTAAATGTATAATTGCCTTCCACATTTTTGTAAATACTGCTTTTATTATACCTATGTGTGTTAAAATATTAAATCTTTAAATTATAAAATCTACAAATATTATTTATTTTTGAAAAGTTAAACAATTTTATTATAGAAACGAAAATTATTTTCCGAGAGATTATTATCATCTTGAGACTATTTTATATTAGCTTTTATTAATTAAACAAATAAGGAATTATATTTTTCTTTGAAATATCTATTTCAAGAAGTCCAAAAAAATTATTAAAATTTTCTTACATTTAGCGTGTTCCATTGACAAGATTAGTTGCAAGAGTGTGATGCACATCTTTTCTTGGTAACACTGTCAGCCAGAAACCACCTTCAGCTTTCATATTGAAGCCATCCTTAGCGATCTTGAGCGGTATTGGTGTCTTCTCGCAAATTTTCAAATCGCAACGGGCCAATAAATGGAAGAGTAAAACCTTTGTCTCCAACAATGCGAATCTGTTACCAATACACATTCTAGGGCCCAGGCCGAAAGGAAGGTAGGCTCCGGAGTTGAGACTATTCTTTTTCCGTTCACCACAAAACCGCTCGGGATCAAATTTGTCCGGCTCCTCAAAGTAAGTGGGATCACGCTGAAGTGCATAAA